CTTCATACACCTTTGGTTACTAACACCAAAAAACAAAATAGGACATCAATATGGTTACTGATAGATTATAAAATTAAATACTACTAAAATTCATTGCATCTGATTTTAAATCCTGAATCTATCTAATCCTTCATTAAAGTTAAATTAGATTTCAAAACAGAAGGAACAGAAAAAACGAAGTTGAAACTAACCAAAACACCCACAAAAAGGAAACCCAAATCAACCAAAATAACTAAAAATACCTTCCCTTTTTCCCTTAAAGAACAGGAAAATAATTACCATTTTGGATAGTAAAGTGAACTTCAATCAGTTAACAGCTAATAAGTTGAGAGACAAAGTGAAAGAGCTCAGAAGAAAACTCTGAGTATGCCCACAAACTTACTCAAAACTCAAGAGAAAGCAACAGATAACGTAGAAACAATTTACCAAAATAACGAAAAACCAAGCATCGAGCAATTAGCTTCTATCTGGGGACTAAATAAGAATGAATTCAGTTAAAAAAACAAAATATTTATAGTTATTATCATTAATTGGGGAAAATTTTAAACCCTAAATATAGTAAAACGAACAAAATCGGGATCACTATAAGGGTGAAGAAGAGATCCGAAATAAATGCCAAAGTAACAGTAACTCCCGGTCCAGGTCAAGATATAAACACAGAAAAATTCATAAATTAAATCTAAATCTAAAACACCGATAATAAAGGAGCCAAAAAAGGAAGTTAAATTTTTAATAAATAAAACTAGATTCTTGTGGTGCGTTAGATAGCCGTACCATCAACAACTCTTCCACATCGGAACCGGAGATAATCGAGCCGTACCTGACTGAGCTCCGAAAGACGGCGGCGTATTTGTAAAAGGAAAAAAGCAGTGTGTTTCAAAATAAGGCTGCCTGTGCTTCCTTTTAAGTTCTTTTTCCTATATTTCTTTTTGTGTGTGTGTTTTCAGGGGAGAAATAGGAAAAGACTGAGGTCGTTTAAGACGGCTTTTAACATTGTTAGACTCTGTTTAGTTTCTGTGTCTAATTATAGTTTAGTCCCTGTACTATTTCTAAAACCTTGATATCTAATTCAACTGCTTTAATTTAGTATAATAATATTATTAGTAAGCTCATATTGATAATATTGTTTATAGTTATTAATAAATTAATGGTATTAAATTTAGATTTAATTAAAAATAAGTACTTAAATTATATTTTTATTTATTTAGATGTTTATTTTTTATTAAAATGGGTACTTAATACATTTGAATTTATCATTTGATGATCAGTTTTATCACAATCATCCACAAATTTATTAAAAATAATCAAACAACCGATATTTAATGATATTTATTAATCAATGTTAATAATATTCATATCGTTTCACACTTTTAGTTATGTTATCTCGTTTTTTTAGTATTTTATTTTGATATTATAAAAATAATACTTATGATTTATTAATGAATTTAATTTTAACATATACAATTATTGATCTATGCAAAATAAAAATAAACAACGCACGTAACAAATGACATCTATATATGATGAGATAATATCATGTTACCCAATATAAAATTCTTTAGTTTTACACAAATTTAGGATTGTTTGATGATTTATATATACTAAAATATATTTATTTCGGACACAATGTTAAAATTACTCTATAACATTTCTCGAAACAATCATTTTGACTCTCGTTCTTTTTTTGGGAACATTTTGCCCTCTCAATGTTTCAGTTAAGGGCAAAAAGACCCTAATGTTTGATTGAATAATTATTGACTCATTTTCTTTCTTCAGAAGTATTTTGACCCTCAACATTTCATTTTAGGTTTAAAAAGCCTCTATTTTGGAGCATTAACCTTTTGTTAACTAGCGGTTTTCATCTACGAATGAGCTTTTTCCCCAAATTGAAAAATTAAGGCAAAAATGTTCAAAAAAATATAAGTAAAAACGATAATTTTAATAAACGTTGAGGGACTAATTTTGATATTATGATAAATATTAATATGATACATAGAGAATCATAACAAAAATAAAATAGGGTGAAGTACATGAATGACCCCATGACTATTGGATGGTGTTTTATTGAGTCCCCAAACTTTTAGAAGTTAAAATTATCCTTCGACTATAGGGCGTTGCTTTGTTAAGTCCTCTTACTATTAAAAATTACAAAATGGTTACTCGACTATTCATATGTTCAAAACTCGTCATTTTTTATTAAAAAATTGACGACCTTTTGAGTTGGAAGTTATACGTGTTGATTAGGATATGATAAAATCTGACCTCATAATCGTTTGAGGTATATTTTGTGGATCAAGTATTTGTTTGTATTACGTCGTCGAGCCAATTTTAAAACACTTTACAGTCGATCCATTTCTTAAAAGCAACGATGGTGCTAGTAGACATTATTAAAATATAATTTTAGCATTTTACAGTCAATAGGCTAACGTTCAACTCAAACAACCATCAATTTTTTAACAGAAAATAACGAGTTTAAAACATATGAATAGTCGAGTGATTAGTTTGTAACTTTTAGCTGCAGGGGACTGAACAAAACAATGTCATATTGTCAGTGACTATTTGAGTATTTTACTCAATAAAATAATAATTTTAAAAAGTAGGAAATTATTCCGTTCTATCATGCGTGTCAACAAATTTTTAAAAGAAATTATCTCAATATAAATAAGGATAAATTATATGTTTAGTATAAATTATTACTTTTATTCTATTTTGGTACTTAAATTTTATTTTTTTAATCATACCTAGCATTGAGTTTAGGTTTCAATTTGGTATCTTGCCATTAAAAAATTAACAGAATCATTGACGTAATATTTTTTTATTTTTTCAATGATGGCATGACATTATCTTATGATAATACATAAATATCACTGTTAAGTTTTAAACGGTAGGATACCGAAATGAAACTTAAACTAAACATTAGATGATTTTGAAAAAAAATTGAAGTATAAAAACAAAATAGAAGTAATAGTTTAAACATTAAACATGTAGTTTACCCTAAAAATAATCGGTACGAAATTCGTCAAGCAGTTTGAGTTTTGCCATACCTAGAGGAAACAAATTAAAGTAGACGTTAAAAAGGATAAAATCACAAAATTTGGCATAGTAAAGGGATAAAATCATAATTAGACCAACTCCTTGTAAAGTATTTTCTTATTTATCAGCCGTTATTGTGACGGAATTTATGATGAACTTAATTATACTTTGGGAGCGACTGATTCTGATTCCTTGCTTACCCTGGCTTCTACCCACTTAATTTCATTTACATTTTTTTGTTGGAATTGGGATAGTTAATTTCGTAATTTTTTACATACAAAAATTCATAATTTGTGCTCCGCAGATAAATTTATTTTCCTTTCTCTTATTTAAAAAAAATGGAAAGTAACATTAGATCTAGCAAACGGACACGTGTGATTTCTTACGAGGTACACGGATGCGTAATACGCATTTCCATGCTTTTGCACGTTACACAAAATTAAAAGGTTTAAAGTAAAAATAAATGTTTAAAGTATACAGTATTTAAAAACCTTTTTATTAAAGATAGACATTTAATGTTTTTTTGTTATATTTTTAGGTACTTAATATTATCTATATTATATTTTTAGGTGTCTACGTTGTAACAACAGTTAAATGACATGTGTCACATTTATATTTTTTTGAAACTTTTATTTTTAAAACAACTTAAAAATATTATTATTTAAAAAACTCATTTTTTAAGAAAAATAAAAAAATACTCCAAAACCCTATGATCCTTAATTTTAAATTTCATTTCTAACTGTCCTCGATCATCTCCGATCACCGCCCTTGTCACCGAACAACCGCTCATCAGTCACCGCTCACCCACTAATCGATTATCGCTCTTATCGTTACTCCAAAACCCTAAATATCTAAATCTCTAACCTTAACACTAAATCTAAATTTACAATGCTTATCCCAATTCCAACGTCAGGAGCGGTGATTGAAAAGTATAGTTTGAACACGTAATTTTATATTAAGCCAAACTAAAAGTATTATCATGAATTATTTTTTAGATTAGTAATCTAATTATTATCTCTCTTCTGTTTTAACTATTATATTATTTTATGTGAATATGGTTACTAACATTACATTTTATTGGTATAATGTCAAAAAAAAACCCTTACGTTTGATTAAATAATCATTTTAGTCCATATTCATTTTTAAAGTATTTAGACTAAAAAGAATGGGGCTATAAGACAACGATCAAACGGTAATATTGGTAACAAAAATATGAAGGATAATGAGAGAGAGAAAATGAAATTTGAAGAAGATCTCCCTTCTTGCCTAATATATGATTTATATATTGACTTCTTATGTATGTTGGTGTCAAGCCTAAGATCATTATTACTATCCGTAGGCCAGTAGAATATATAAATACAACAATCAGTCAATAGATTTGATCTTGATAAATCTCTTAAATTTATCAAAGATCTTGTCAAGGATATTTTATCAACTACAAACATCTTTGTAGGAGAATCCTTTTAGAAATGATCTTAATAAACGAAGGAGTAGTATTTTCCGAGGTGTAATACATCCCCTAACGTCAAATCAGGTGGAAAACGCTAATTTTTAGATTATGAGAAAATAAAGTTGTATCCCAACTTTGATTTATAAAAATCATCAATTATTAAAGTGAAAGAGTGGAACCTAGAGTTGCTTATTGATTGACTGTGTAAGTAATGAGGACAATTATTAAAGTAGAAGAGTGGAACTTGAAGTTGCTTATTGATAGAATGTACAAGTAATAAGGACACATGTATAATTATATTAATTTCATTAACCATCACGTTAGCTCCAACGCCAAATATTAATTATAGGCGACTTAATTAATATCATTTAAATAGTTAAATGATCTGATTACCAAAATTAAAAGATCGATAGTTAGACTAAAACTTCTTATAGTTAAGTGATCATGGGTTTAGTTTACTTTAAACTATATGCTACATTGATATACTAAAATACAAATAGACCCAAAATAAATTGGCTTAGTTAACAAAGGTGTTACAACATTTAATGAATCGCTTAATGCAGATTCGACACAAGTGAAAGAAAAACCAGAATGCAGTGATTATAACAGTGTATTGTGAGTTCAAATGACTAGGATCAACCAATGCATTTAAACAATGCAATAAATTGAAAACTAGAATTAAACCGGTTCCTTTCCAAAACTCATCAAATAAAATAAGGGAAAAGAACAACCCTGAAAGTACACCATAAGGGGGGAATGGACCAACAGGGAGGAACGAGCATCCCATGATAGCAACACTCAGTTTGGACACCTCGTACGTGATACTCATGAACACCATCAAAAGGAAAAAAACTCCCGAAAATATATCGATGATCACGGCGGTTAAAACGGACGGGGCTATGACTTCGATCGACCCGTTAAAGCAAATCGCGAAAAATGCAAGCAGTACTTCGAGTGCCGTCCTGAACCCATCCGGGAACTGTTTGAGTAGGGCTAGTGTTAGGAAAAACGCTATGGTGAACACGACGTAGGTCATAATATAGAATTCAAGGAAGACCCTTTCTTTCAAGACCGATTGCCCCGAGGATGCTCCGTCCTGCGAAAGACCACCGGGAGGGCTGAGAGTGGCTTGGTAGGTTGAACTGAGGAGCAATCCTAGAATTACTAGTAAGGCGTTGCGGTCATCGCCTGATATATGGTCTATGTCCTGAAAAAATACCCACGATGCTTTCCTAACGTACTTGCCCATTTGTTTCTTCAACTTGTAGTTAAAGGTTGAAACTTTTGGAATAAAGCAACCACGCAGCATACTTATGCTTTCTTTATCGTTATGTTGTTGTGCGACATCCAGTGCCGTCAAATCGGCCTGATTAGTAGCGTGCTTATCGGCCTTGCAGTCTAATAGTAATTTCAGCATCTGCTTAGTTGATAGTTTGAGATAATCAGTTAAAATCTCCACGAGGTACAGATGAATCTCTGTTTACTTAAAAAAATAATAATAATAAAAATATCTATGTAATATTAATTAGGTACAATTCCAAAATTAGTCCATAATATTTATTAAAATGGTTATTTTAGTCTTTATATTTTTAGCATTTTGGTCTCTAATGTTGAATGGAAACCATTAATTGATCAATAGTCATTGTATATGTTGTTGATATAATATTTTCACACATGTTTAATTTTTAACGTGTCACATGTATGTCATCACTTTGGATGACATGACATATATCACATCATCGTATTGGGAGACATGACTTATGACATATTAATAATTTAATACATGAAAATATCACGTCTGTAACATGTATTAACCATTAATTAATTAATGATTTCTATCCTACAAAGACTTTTTTTTATAATAAAAAAAAATATTGAGAGTTAGATTACTTAAAAAAAGAGAGGATTTCGACATTATGTATATTAATTATCAAAGCGAGTAAGTCAACAAACCTGGGGATGATTATTGTTGGCAGCCATGTGCAGTGCAGTGTTGCCATCTTCGTCTTTCTGGTTCACCACTTTTCGATAATAGTCTTTCTTACGAAGCGATCGAATCAGGATTCGAAGAACGTCTAATCTCTTGTTTCCCGTTGCAATATGTAGAGCGGTGCGATTCTTAACCGTAACATCTAGAACGCATTCAGGACAAGCCTCTAGAAAATCTATCCAACAGACGGTCGTGGTTTCCGGCTTTACATATCAAGTGCAAAGGAGTCTTACCACTCTTCCCCATGACGCGAACAAGATCTTTATCCCTTTCCATGAAACGCAACGCCATCTCCGTATGCCCTTTTTTAACTGCAAGGTGCATCGGGCTCAAGCCATCTTGGTTTAGTTTCCGAGCAAAAGATGGCTCCAAGTTCATGATCTCCATGGCGAACCGAATGCACCCTTCTTCCGCGGCAATGTGTAAAGGGGTGCAGACAAACTCCGCCTCCTCGAAGCGCCTCAAAGCGTTTCCGTCTATCCGAATTAAACTGTACAAATCACCAACATTTCCAGTTCGAGCGGCTCTCATCAAACTTTCATCCATGTCTGGAGGAAGGAAGGATAAATTGAGAATTGAAAGATTAAAAGACTTAGGTGCTATATGGTCCGTTTATTGCAGTCAACAAAGAAACAATATAGAGAGAGGAAAGGCGGACAAAAAGTATCTCATTTTGATTTTGGTGTTCTTCGATGCTTCCCCTTCAGTGGAGGAATCTGGTGCTTTTTTCTTTTCTTTTCTTGAATACGCTGGAAAGCTTTATTCTAAATCAATTTTGGAGTATTTTTTTAAAATATAATATAAAAAGAATATTTTCATGTTTTATTAAATAGTTATTTTAATTTATATTTTTTGAGAATATTTCAATGTTTCATTTTAGGTTAGAAAATCTTTATGCTTTAAATAAAATATTTTTGCCATAAAAAATTGTAAACGTCAAAATGCTTCAAAAAAATAAGGGTCAAAATTATTATTTAATCAAATGTTATAAGTCATTTTACCCTAAAATAAAATGTTGAAATTTAAAATATTTTCAAAAAAATAAAATGTTGAAATTTAAAATATTTTCAAAAAATAAATAATCAAAATAATTGTTTAGTGGAATGTTAAATATATATATATATATGACATTATATCTCTTTTTATGAAAAAAAAAAACAAACAATACATACAAATAAAGATAAACGATATGAAAAATATGTGCAGCCTTTATAGGAGTTGGTTTGTTGGTCATGGACGTTCCAAAAGGATTGATTATGTTGCCGTTAAATAAAAAAATTCATGGAAGAATGTACTTTTATTAAGGCTTAAAATAAGAAAATTTTAAAATTATACATTTTTTTATTTAAGTGTTTAATTTTTTCTCAATTAATTTAGGTGTTTAATGTTACAAACGTTATTATTATAAGTATTTCGGCTATCATGACTGTTAAAAAATTTGGAAAATAACACGAGTAGTGTTTATATTTCTTTTGAAAATTTATTTCTTATTTTAAAAAATAAAAATATTTTTTTGGATAATTCATTTTATTACCCAAAGAAGTAGAGTTTTGCTACAAAAACAATCATCAACCTAAAACCATATGAACACCTACTTACAAAAATCAAGTATCGGTTAATCTAAACCCCAATATTTACAAAGAGTAATATTAACACTATCTAGTCTATTTATGTTCATTCCTCTTAATTGTATACCTACAATCTCCTTAATAGCTTTAAGTATCTCATCAGCATTTCTTGAGCAGCCTTGGAACAACCTTATATTTCTTTCCTCCCACAGGGTGTAAATTAGTGCACACCAAGCTAGCTTCAAGATTGTTGTGAGTAGGGACTTTCCTTTCCAAGCTCAAGCTAACATATTCCCCCATGAAAAAGGTGTTCTCCTCAAGCCGTTTAGGATCAACATAGCCTCCCATAAAGAATCAGCCAAAGGGCACTCTAAGAACAAATGATCCCTTGTCTCCAAAACTTCATTGCAATTAACACATATTCCATCAGTAACAATCCCCATACATTGCAACATGTCCCTAGTTGGAAGTCTGTCCAAAAGAGTCATCCAAGCAATCATACTATGTTTAGGGATATGGAGAGGAAACTATATCAATTTACTTTTTCACCCTTCACCCATATCTCTTCCCATATTTCCCTTATCTTCTTAGCTCCAGTAGATAAAACAGGAAGGGCCTCCGTCCTCAGTTTAAGTATTATGCTTAAGCTCAACTAGTATTAGCTCCATCTTCCATGTGCCAAAAGTCCTCCTTTAACACGTAGTTTTTAAGCCAAGCTACCAACCCTCTTCATCAAGGATATTTCTGATTAGTTGCATCATACACGCTTTATTCCATGGTTTTATGTCCTTTAAACTAAGCCCTCCTTCTAATTTCGAATGGCAAATCTTCTCCCAGCTAACTCTGGCTCCAGTAGCAACCTTATCAGCTTCTTTCCAGCAAAACGAGAACAAAGTTGATGAATCCTATTAATAATAGACTGAGGCAAAATTAAAAAGATCAAAGAGAAAAATATTACCTTTTAAGAAAAATATCAATTTATTTATATAAAAAAACTATTTCACGGGCCCTCTTCTCTCTCGACTCCCTTGCTCTCTCACTTGGGTTAATCAAATGGTCAACTACATCTCTAATTAATATTTGTTACTTGAAGAAGAACTGGGTGACAAAACGGTCGATCGACTGTCATTACCAAACGATTGACCAAAGAGATTTAAGGAATTTTTAAGAATTTAAATATTTGAGATTTTAGGAATTTAGGAAATTGGGGTAATAACGAAAGGAATGATCTTCATTGAGGGCTCATCAATGAATAGATAAGCGGTCAGTGACAATGATGACAACCAGAGATGACCGACCAATAAGACCGATACTTTAAGATTAAGGATTTTGATGCTTTATTAGATTTTCAATCAAATAAAGATAAACAAATAATAATTCTGAGGTCCCTCTCTATTTTCTATTAATCTTTTTATCTTTGTTCTTCACCTTTTAAGATATATTATCCCCTCAATTAAGTAAATTATATAATTATGTCAACTTACTAGTGGGAACTAGGATAAGTTTGGTCAACAAATGGCTGACATCTGTATATCTATACATCATTAGTTATACTTAAATTAGCATTAGCAATGGAGGGTTTGGTTGGGTTTATTTATAATCACGAATACAAATAAGTATTCAATCAAATAAAGTTAAAAGAAAGAAAGAAAAAATAATCAAGTTTATTAATATTGTTTTATTATTTAAATTTCATTTTAAAATGTTTAAATTGAATCGAATTATGAAATTCGAATCGAATCAAAATAGATATATTTATTTGAGTTTCATTCTACATGTAATGGAATTGGTGATTTGCACAAGGATTTTAGAGGAATATACGTCTCAATTGTGCCTTTGATCTACTTATTAGTTGAAGATCAGCTTTGTACACATATCATTCAACAATGAAATCTTTGTTCGAAATTCGTTATGTTGTTGAATAAATCCCATCAATAATGAAGCGTACTTTCATAAAATTCAACACATTGTACAAGAATAAACAAAACCTACAACTTCCAAGTTCCAACAAAAACATAAATAGAGACAGAATCGGATACCAATCGAGTATCGAGATGATTTTGCCGATGAATCTACATTTACAGCTTTTCCGATGTTGATGTTTTTGATGAAGCTGGAGGCTCGCACGGTGAATAAGAGCATCAGAAGGAAGAAATGAGGTCGAAATGTTAGACTCAAAACTAAAGAGAGCTGAAACTACGAGGTCCTGGTCCAGGGACACCTCAAGAACCTCGCGACGGTAAGTAGGGGAAGCGACTCGGGGCTTGATCGCCAACCAAATGATAACCGTCATTGAAAGTATGGCCAAGGCCACAACAAACCCTCACCAATGACGTCACCGTGCAGGTGTTGAGAATCCTCGTGACGAGGATAGCTAAGACGCTATGGTCGCATATCATGTGAGAGCCCCATGGAGAAAGGTATAAATAGGTCTGTTTCATTGCCTTCAAGACTAGGCAAAAGGTCTGTGCTACTTAGCTCATTTTAATCTCTAGCTTCTAATACCTCTGACCAACATTCCAACCTATATCTTCCTTCATAGGCTGTTGGCCTCCGTGAGAACCTCCATTCTTTCTTAAAGACATCAACAGTCATATTTCTTGCGGGGGCTGTCTGCTCTACCATAAGAAACTTTCACTCCCTAAGAAAACAGAAGATAGAATTCGGAGTTCAGTCCAAACCAAGAACAGAAATTAAAACTGTGTCTCATACACCTACTCATAAGATTCGAAACAAAACTCAAAATCAAGCTGAACTTTCTTGGGTACATACTTGAAAAATAGATCCAAGCCTTTTCAATCCTTTGGCTCGTAAAGCCTGAACTTTCTTGAGCACATCAGGATCTTCAAGTACCTGGATAACAAAAGGATCAATAGCAAAATATACCGACATTTGCATTGATTTTTTGGTATGAATCACATAGATAAAGTTAAGAAAACTGTTTAGTACTTACCGCTAAGCAGATGTTAGATAAAGTTGTTTCAATATCAACCACATTGACCTTCCAAAGGGATTGAAGCATCGCATCCTTTTTATCTTCAAAGGTTTTCATTAAGCTTTCTTCTCCGTTTTCTCCTTGGGTCGCTTTCTGAAGCTCTTGTTGTATCTGAATTAAATTAACAGCACCTACAAAAAGGAGATATATATGCACGTACTAAACCGTTTTCTTTCGAAAATTTAGAAGTTTGATTATGGAAGAAGGCCTTGAATGCCATCAAACAAGATCTAACACCTAAATTGCAGAACATTGTACCTGAAGCTCCAATTACTTGTGATTTCACACGGTGCCCTTTATCACGCACCCATTCAGCTAAAAAGGGTACCTTCATATACTTTTCTTTGCCGAGTTCTCTCGCACTTTTCCTCCTGTAAACATATCCAATAGTACGTAGCATTTCCTCACCAAAAGCTGAAAGTGTGGAAGTCAATGGCAATAGTTAATATGCAAGAAGCAAAATGACACAGTAGTTATGATAAACTAATGGTAATGGTAGTAACTAAGAAGCTTACAAGCTTTCAAAAGTCGTTGTGCTTCGGAATTTGCCCAATTAATAAACTCATTGGTTTTACCATCAACGAACGGCTGAAGTCTTTTTTTAAGTATTATGATAAGCTTTTCTTCCCTTTCTTTCTGCAATGCCTGCAGGGGAAAAGTAATACAAGTGTAATTTGGAAAGGAACACATTTAGAGTAGAAAATGGAACTCATTGAGAGGGTTTTACCGCAAGCTTTTCCTTAAGATTTTGCAAACGAGCTTCCTTATCTTGTGAACCATCTTCACTTTCAAGTTTAACAGAAGCCAAAGTAGCCATTTGTAGTTGCCCAACATATTCGTCGAAGTATTCACTTCCGAAAGCCATTCCGAACACGGCTGCAGGATATAACATGGAGTCTCTGTCATAGTAAAAAGATGAAGTAAGCTTGAAGGAACGAATAAGGATCAATCCCAGTTCTTTTTATAGTTTTGAGTGATTACAATATATAATTTTTCAGAATCTTTCTTTGCTATTGACAAAACACATATACCCCATTTGCTCGAATATAGATTCTATAACTTCTCTTTTACCGCTTGAGAATTTAACTTTGAAAATCACAATTAAAGGATCTAAACTTACGGTTGGAATCCTGCCTTTCCATGTTTGTCATATTCTTCACGTTTTGAAGGATCACTTAGAACCTGATAAGCCTCAGAGAGTGCCTTCATGCATATATAATCAAACACAGAAGATAATTACCATTAAATTATAGGAAATGAAGATGAAGAACATGTTTTCACTACTATGGTTTTCGATTAGAGACGTTCGAAAGCGTTAACTGTTGCGGAAGACGGCTATCGGATAGAGCAAAATCGCAACTGATAATTTGAGAAAATAAAAATGAAGATAAAAGAGACAAAAAATTTACTTGGAAAACCCCTGAATAATATAGGGTAAAAACCACGGGCAACTATAGAAGAATTTCACTATGAGAAAATATGAATTACAACTTCTCTCAATCGACCAAGGAGAAAACAATGATAATTCTTTCTTGATAAAAAGGAGAAAACAACTTTCAAGAAACTCTCTAAATTCTCTCTCGTATTGTAAGAAAGCTAGAATGCTTTGGGATGATTTTGAAGCTAAATGAGCTAGGGTATTTATAGTTGAAACTTAAGGACTAATCTTATAAATACCCACAAGTTCAATGACTAAATTGTGATTATTCTATTTAACTTTTTCAACAATTTGGTGGCCAATATTTGACCAATTTAGCCGCCCATTAATGATGCCAAATTTCCACCCCATTATGTTGACTAATGCTACCAACTTTTAACAATCTCCTACTTGAAGATTTGATTGGAGAAATCATATCTTCACACCATTTTTCTACCTTGTACCATCATGTTGCTTACGTTTTTGTCAGGCCACAAGAGGATCGACACCAGCTAAATTTATCAACGTTGATTGCCTTCGTCATGAAATCTGTTATATTGTCTTTGGTATGGATCTTCTGCATATCTACCGTCCCTTCTTCCACCTTTTCACGAATAAAATGGTATTGAGCTCATATGTGCTTTGTCCTTGAATGAAATACTAGATTCCTTGCTAGATGCAAGACACTTTGACTGTCACAAAACAGAGAGACATACTCTTGATTGTGCCCAAGCTCCTCCAATAGCATCTTCAACCAAATTGCTTCTTTACTGGCTTGTGTAGCTGCTACATATTTTGCCTCTGTTGTGGATGTAGCCACAACTGACTGCAATTTTGAAACCCAGCTTACAACTCCACTAGCAACTTTGAACACATATCCAGTAGTAGATTTGCTTTTATCCAAATCCCCTGCATAGTCAGAATCTACATACCCATTGATTAGTAAATTTGATCCTCCGTAACATAATTCAACATTTGAGGTCCCTTTGATGTATCTCAGGATCCTCTTTACTGTATTCCAATGCTCTTTTCCTGGATTCTCCATGTACCGACTAACCACTCCCACTGCTTGTGCAATGTCTGGTCTTGTGCATATCATAGCGAACATTAAACTTCCCACTGTTGATTCATATGGTACTCGAGACATCTACATCCTCTCTTCTTCACTGCTAGGACTCATACTGGAGGATAATTTGAAGTTAATAGGAAGAGGGGTAGAAATTGGCTTACAATCTTACATGCTGAATCGTGACAAGATTTTCTTCAAGTAATTCTTTTGTGAAAGCCAAATCTTCCTATTACTTCTGTCTCGGTGAATTTGCATCCCTAGAATCTTGTTTGCTGATCCCAAGTCCTTCATTTCAAATTCCCTAGCCAGTTGTGCCTTCAATTCTTCAATATGATCTTTGTTGGGTCCTGCAACCAACATGTCATCCACATACAATAGCAAAATAACAAAATCATTATCATCAGACCTCTTGAAATAAGCACAATGGTCTGCATTAAGTCTGTTGTATCCAAGACACATAATGAAAGAATCAAATCTCTTATACCAACACCTCGGCGCCTACTTTAGGCCGTACAGAGATTTGTTCAACCTACAAACCAAGTTCTTCTTTTCTTTTTCTTCAAAACCTTCAAGTTGGAGTATATAAATTTCTTCTTCAAGATTTCAATGAAGAAAAGCTGTTTTAACATCTAGCTGCTCTAGATGTAAGTCCAATGTAGCACACATTGCCAAAACTACTCGAACTGTTGTTAGTCGAACCACAGGAGAAAATATTTCATTGAAATCAATACATTCTTTTTGAGCATATCCTTTAACCACCAGTCTTGCACGATACCTCTCAACTTGATCGTCACCATTTCGCTTGATTTTGAAGACCCATTTATTACCAATTGGCTTCCTTCCTTGTGGTAGTGGCACAATGTCCCATGTATTATTTTTATGAAGAGCTTTAATTTCTTCTTGCATCGCCATCATCCACAGTGAAGCATCTGAGTTGTTTATTGCCTCCTGGTATGTTGATGGCTCACCGTCCTCTGTTAAAAGGAGTATGCAATATTACCTTCTATAACATAATCTGAGTGCCAATTGGGATGTCTTCTCACACGATCTGATTGACGAGTTGTTGGAGCTTCAGAACTCTCTGGTTCTTGTTCATCATGTGTTGGTTCTACTTCAGAAGAATCTCCTTGTTCAAACTTTTTTTTCACATGTATCTGAGTAGTCTCTGACTTTTCAGCGCTATCATCGTCTTCTTTTCTTTGTAGTTTATCTTCTACAAAGATAACATCTCTACTGATGATCACTTTGCGGGCAGTGGGATCCCACAAGCGATACCCATTTACTCCATCAGCATACCCTAAGAATTTGCATTTCCTGGATTTTGGATCCAACTTTGAAATTTCTTGGGAGTTGTACATCACGTACACTATACTTCCAAATACATGGAGGTTTGAATAATCAGTTGGTTTTCCAGTCCACATCTCTATTGGTGTCTTCAGCTCTATTGCATTGACTACTTCTTCCTAGAATAATTTTTCTAGGCCTACATCCCTCAACATTGATCTTGTTCTTTCTAACAAGGTTCTGTTCATCCGCTCTGCCACTCCATTTTGTTGAGGAGTGTTCGCCACTGTGAACTGTCTTTTGATGCCTTCTTTCCTGCAAAAGTCATCAAACTCTTCGCTTGTGTATTCTCCTCCATTATTTGTTCTGAAACACTTGATCTTATTTTCATAATCAAGTTCCACCCGCGCTTTGAAGTTTTTGAAAGTTGAAAATACATCTGACTTTTTCTTAATATGGTACACCCAACATCTCCTGGAGTAATCATCAATAAATGAGACAAAATATTTTGCTCCACCTAGGGATGTAACGGGTGCTTGCCATACGTCAGAATGAACCAATTCTAGAACACTTTTGCCTCTAGAATTTGACTTGTTGAATTTCAACCGGTGCTGCTTACTTGTTATGCAATGCTCACACAAAGGAAGTGTTACCTTTGTTAAGCCTGGAAGTAGCTTTTTCTCCACAAGAACTTTCATTCCTTGTTCTGACATGTGTCCAAGTTTCTGATGCCATAGCATTGCAGAATCTGAACTACATGAGGCAACAGAGGCTTCTGCTTCTAGCAAAGTCTCTCCCTTCAGCATGTACAAGTTTGCAGCTATCTTTTCGCCTTTCAACACCACAAGCGCTCCACGAAACACCTTCATGATTCATTTCCGTGTTTCAATCTTGCTTGCATTATTATCCAACAATCCGTAGGATAATAAATTTTTCTTTAGGCCTTTCACGTGCCGCACATCTCGAACAACTTTAATTGTTACATCGTACATCTTCAATTTGATGGTTCCCATGCCAATGATCTCTAAGGCATGATCATTGTAACTATACACAGATCCTCCTGAGACAGGTTCATAATGATGGAACCATTCTCTTCTTGAGGTCATGTGATATGTCACTCCCGAATCAATGAGCCATATATCTACAAATCTTTTTCTGCCTTCCACGGTGGTTGACGCTTCACAGCATAGAGCATCTCCATCATCTGAAGTGTTTGCGGTATTGTCTTGTGGATTGGAGTTTTTATTTAAACTCCAACAATCATTCTTCAAGTGACCATTCTTTCCACAGTTGTAGCACTTTAAATTCTTTTTGCTCCTCGACTTCGATCTACCATGTTTGTGACTACTGCTTTGGCCAAGCTCTGTTGATCTCCCTCTCGTCGTTGAAAACGCTTCTGCTTGTTGCAGATTTACTTGTCTGTCTTCCTTGTTCTTGCGCCGATTTTCTTCTTGTAGAACAGCAGCTGCAACGTCATCGAAGACTAGACTGGTGACATTACTGTTTGTCAAGTTGATGATGAGTTGATCATACGAATCCGGTAGACTTTGAAGTAGAAGTTCAACACATTCTTGTTCTCCTATTTTACAGCTTAAGGATATAAGCTGAGAAAATAAAGTGTTCAGCGTATTTAAGTGCTATGTCACTGAAGTAGATTCTGGCATACGGAGAGTGTACAATTTCCTCTTAAGGAAAATTTTATTGTGCAACGATGTGGCCTCGTACAATTTGGTGAGATGATCTCATATCTCCTTAGCTGTCTTTTTCTCCTTGATGCTTGACAATACTTCATTTGCTAATGCTAGATGAAAGTTTACCATAGCATTCCCGTCCATTTCGATCCATTTGTTGTCATCTGTGAAATCTACCGGTCTTTCACTGATTGCTGCTAGACAACCGTCTTTCCTCATGATGACCTTCATCTTCAATTCCACAATGAGAAATTTCTCCCATTGAATTTTTCAATATCAAATTTCGTTGCCATAACTTCTTTTACGGATAGCTCCCACTATTTTACTATCGTGAATAGTTCTCTGGAACCTTCAAAAAATGGGTAATAACTTCTTATTTTCTTATGTTGGAGGATCCACCTTTTGGTGGCAACCACAAAGACAATAAGCAGATATTACACACTCAAATCTAGCTCGGATACCAATGTTGCGGAAGAAAGCTATCGGATAGAGCGAAATCGTAATTGATAATTTGAGAAAATAAAAATGAAGATAAAAGAGACACAAAATTTACGTGGAAAACCCCTGAATTATATGGGGGAAAACCACAGGCAACGATAGAAGAATTTCACTATGAGAAAATAGGAATTACAACTTCTCTCAATCGACCAAGGAGAAAACAATGATAATTCTCTCTTGATAAAAAGGAGAAAACAACTCTCAAGAAACTCTCTAAATTCTCTCTAGTATTGGAAGAAAGCTAGAATGCTTTGGGATGATTTTGAAGCTAAATGAGCTAGGGTATTTATAGTTGAAACTTAAGGACTAATCTTATAAATACCCATAAGTTAAATGACTAAATTGTGATTATTCCATTTAACATTTTCAACAATTTGGTGGCCAATATTTGACCAATTGAGCCGCCCATTAATGATGCCAAATTTCCACCCCCATTATGTTGACTAATGCTAACAACTTTTAACATTAACATCCGATAGCTTACATGAAATTTCTCATCAGCCCTTGGATCTCCGGGGTTCTTATCAGGGTGAACTTGCCTTGCCTGAAACAAACCAGTAAAGGAATCATACAAATAACGCATTACTCAGTTTGAACTTTCAACGAACATTTGAATGGCAATTTTTACATCCAAAACGAATCCAAACACCATTTTTATAGATGAATCTTTTACGAAAAAAAAACCATAAACGTAAACATCATGTAGATTAAAATGAGAAGCATACTTTTCGATAATAAGCCTTCTTGATCTCAGCAGCGGAGGCATCAACATTGACACCCAATAGATCGTAATAAGAAGTATCTCTCATCCTTGTTATAATATTCCCTCGGCACTGATTTTAACATCATAATTAAAAAAATCAACAAGATCTATATAAATAAAAATAATAATAATAAATATATAATTCAAATCAAGAATGGAAATCATAAATAAGAATCAACAATAATCAATTCAGTATATATATATATATATATATATATATATATATATATATATATATATATATATATATATATATATATATATATATATATATATATATATATATATATATATATATATATATATATATATAAAGCAAATTCAAGAAGCAATCGTGAATGGAACTTACATGTGAGATGAGGAGGTTAAGCGATTGATTGATTATTTGCAATGAACTGGAAGATGGATAAAAACCCGGAGATCAGTCAACGATATAAAATAATAATAATAACTTGAATAGTATGAAAGCTAAAGACAAAAAACCGAAGAGTTTACGCGGGGGGAGATCCCAGGGTGTTCAACGGTTACACGTGTAGGAATGTGAGAAGCAGTAGATGTATAGAATGTTAAGTAAAGAATCTGTCGCAACGTCCATCCCTGTTGGCTTCGTGTGTGTCGTGTTGGCAGTGGACGGGAGAAACGACGATGTAAAGAAGCTCCAAACGAAGCTTCCTATCAATCTTCATCCAGATATGAAATCATGATGAAATATTAGGGGCCTAGAATAAATAATACGATAAATTATGTATTGAGTCACTAAACTATTCTTTGGGTTCTAGTTTAGTCATTCCATCTATTTTTTAAAAGGGTAAACTATACTGTTGGTCTCTTATGTTTTCGGTTTGTCTAATTTTGGTCACCAATTTAAAAAAGGAACAGTTTTGGTCTCTTACGTTATTAATTCGTTCGATTTCAGTCCCTCGACCGTTAACTCCCATTAATCCATTAACATAAATCTAAATTGGCAATTAAAAAATAAAATAAAAATCCATGTGTTTCTTCTTCTTCTTCTTCCCACAATGATTTTTTGATCGCATTGATTTTGTTCCAAAAATACAAGGGTCTCAAATATCTCTTTGCCAATATAAAATGGTTAATATATATCTTATCCTTTGAACTTTACCTTAGTATCAAAATGGTACCTCCATTTTTTACACATATTTGATATTTAAATTTGTTTAGGTGCACAAACTAAGCGACTACGGTAGTAAAATAACTGTTATTATTCTTTGAGATCTCGGGTTCGATCACCATGAATGTCAGGGGTTTGAGAGTTCAATGTTAAATAATTAAAAATTATCTTTAAACATATATTACCTTGTAGTTACCCTAAATTAATAAAAAAAAATATTTAGGTACTAGTACCTAATTAATATCTAAGTTTAAATTCATTAAAATTGTGTTGGCATATCACCTTCAATCAAACAATTAACGATATATATATATATATATATATATTTATTAATGTAACAGGCCATCTTGAAATTACAAAAAAACCATTAAATTTTTCAAAGGTAAAGAAAAAACTTAAAATGTAATTTTATTAAACACTAAAAAAATTGTTCGATTACGAGTTTTTTAACCTATTTTAATGTAATCTCAAAGTTTTCATCTTTCACTCTTTAAATTCGTATTTTTTTAATAATTTTCTCAGGACGTGGGCGTTGAAATTGCGTAGAAATGGAGTGTAAAATTTCCTTTCTCCATATTGAATAAAATTAAATTTGAAAATTTATTAAAATTCTATAAAGCAGGTCACATCAATAATGAAGATTACTTTTAAAGACATGTGATATCAATTAATTGTTTGAACATAATATTTCAGTAAATGTTAAATTTATCATTTTACTTTAATGATACTAACAATGTATAGGTGCGTTCAATTAGGTTTTTACGAGTATACAAGGATGAAACAATTAACTAAAATTCTTTTTAAAGGTCGGAAAACCAATTAAATTTTTAGTAATTTTTTTGTATGTAATCTTAGTATTTATATATTGAAAAATCTTTTATATAAATATATAAACCGTCTTTCAATTAACTTTCCGACATTCAAGCAACGATGTACGGTGATGTGTACACTAATAATAATCTAACAGTTATGGTTCCTCACTGTTGAACATTGTAAATGACTAGGGTTTCAAGATTTGATGATTGTATAGAAAGAAATGTAAACTACACGTTTAGTATATAAATTATTATTATTATTATTATTATTCTATTTTGGAATTTAAAATTTATTTTGTTTCAAAATTATACTAACGTTTAGTTTATGTTTCATTTTGATAATGCGTTCTAATGGAAATGTTGTATGTGACATTTTTATGGGTAAATTACATCATTCATCGCTCATCTATCTTCTCTTATTTTGGTCACTAAAGAAATTGAGGGATTGTTATAATAAAATTATAAGTTCTGTGCTTAGTGATAAAGAAATCAACATGGATTTGTAACTTATAGTTTATTTCATCAAAGGTTAAATGTTAAAGGTACTTGGATGGGAAATTATGATAATACTCCGATAGGGTAAAATTACGAAAATACCCTTAAGTTGTAAGATGTCAAGAATTATCCCTGGAAATTGATTAATAACTCTGGAAGGATATATTGATATGATAAAACTACAGATGTGCTTAAGAAATGCTAGATTTTGCTTACGAAATACGGATAACCGGTTTTTAACCCCTAGAGGGTTTGTGCAAGATATTAGAATTCTATTAAGGAATTATTTCAAGATAAGAGAATGTTCGGGAAAGCAATTGATCATAGGATCTCTAAATTATAATTATTTTCGTTAAGAGCTAATATTGAAATTATCTGGTTAAGAAATTACGAAAATGCCCTTGAGAGATAAAATAGTCTGAATTGACCCTGAATGAGAAAGTACTTTGAGGATTTGTACTTAACACGATTAAGTACGAATTTAATCGTTAAGATCCTGTCTTTGTACAGAAAAATTTATAATATTTCGTTTGTAAAATATGAGAAGACACTTGACCCGAAAATATTCGAATATGGAGTAAATACTTGAAGAGTAATTTATCGGAGGTATTCTGCTGTCAGAATTGTTCGAAAGGACTGAAGTAAATGATAAGATTGAATTAAATAATAATACCGGATGGAAGGAAATGATTGAAATATTCTAGAATTGTAAAATAACCAAAATACCCCTGGAATGGAAATGACTCAAGAATGTCACCAAGCTCAAGAATGAATGGATATACTCAAGCTTTGAAATGAATAGAAACATGTTGAGCACCAAAATGACCAAAATGCCCTTATGACCTAGAATAAGTAAATGTCTTTGATTAATTAAGAAATCCAAATAAACATGGATGTTGTGCTACCAGTAAAAGTTGTGGAACGCAACTTAAGTGATCAACCAACGTTAGTGCTATATCATTACCTGAATGATATAAGTATCACTTGAATGTTTGTTCATCTTCTCAAATTTGGATCGATGATAATTCTGGAAGTACTTGGCTCAACTCAACTCTAGAGCGCATACAATACTAATAAATGGTATTCGTGAGTCAAATCAACCACGAATACCAGAATGACTTTATTATATGAATAAATTGAAATGAAATGAAGTACAACGTGTATTTGAAATTCAGAAACGTCTGAATTATTATGGAAAACTTTAAAGTAATCATGATAGACTTGCTTACTAAACGAACTAAGTAACATCAATGACTAAGGATTAAATAGGTGATTTGATGAGTTTGGAAACACTGTTGAACTTACATGATGAATTGTCATTATGGGTTATGAGCCATGGATCAAGTATGTCAGTATTTCCTGATATTGTTGAAACGTGGAAATGAAATAAAGACCGTTGAAAGATTTATTCAATGATGATTATGGGGATGATCTATGGATCTGCATTATAGTATTAAAGAGTGAATACACTGGAAGGATAATGAATTGACTTGTTGACATGCATCAGTTTGGGAGTTGTGTAACTCGAGTTGTTTGATAATACGATCGATAGTCGTAGATTGTAAATGACTTGAATCTTCGATTCTATATTTCATCTAAAATCACTTCGGTCATGTTTGAAAAAAAAACAAGTAACGCAGAAGGAAAAGATTCTGAATACCTCATTTGGTTCAATTGGGCTGAAATCCTATGAATTCAAAGTATATTTCTGAATACCCCTGATTGTTTGGGTAATGGAATCACTCGCAGTAAATCTGAATTTAGAATTATTATGTATAAAGGTTCCTGAACGTTTTCCTAATGCACACAAAAATATAGTGGGATTCTAATGTATTAACCTTAAATGTCTGGCTAGATCGGTTAGTAATCAATTCTCCTCAATAGGACCTTGTTCCTGGAATTCGATCAAATTTCATAAGTTTCATGTTATCCAAAATGATAACTACAATGGCCTCTGAAAATACTTGGATTCTCTAGTGTGTTCCCTATTTATTACTGAACTGTTTTATTTATTTTAAAATATGGTACACTGAATTCTATTGCTCCTGTTTTATTGATGCACCAATTTATTGTGATGTTTTATGGATTAAGACGACTATCTGATTTTTGGTTTGAACTGGTATTTGATTACCATGTATATGGATTTATGGAATTTATGTCACGGTGCAATTGTATTTTTGATACGGATTTATAAAGTACAGCTCTGATCAAGCTGGAAAACTTTGACGGACCTAATTTGACTCTTGGGTAGGCTTACGGGCCCCAAGATATTCCATTAGGTTGGCTCCCTTTTGCTGTGTGCTTAGGGTAAGCCCTATGGACTTACGAACTTAAGGATACAGGCCCCAAAGCCTATCCTTAGGTTGGCTTCCTTTTCACTGTGTGCTTAAGGTAAGCCCTATGGACGCAGTTCTAGGAACTGCGGATGGTGTACAAGAGAATGGTTTAAACTACAAGTTTCAAAAGTTAAATTTCATTATGATTTTATGAGATTTACTGAACTATCATTTGATAAGTGTACCTATTATGATTTTATTATACTGTTGGAACACACTAGACATCCTATTCGATCTCCTGAAAATGTCATACTTTGAAAGGTTTCTTATGAACTGAGATTCATGGCTTCTACTCGATGAACTTCTAAGGGAACCCCAAATTATTATGCAAACTGGTATACGTATGATTCAATAAGGAAATTATATGGCTTTCCATTTATCTATATGTCATGTAGCATCATCTGGTAGTTCTATATTACTGAGTTTTCCGAAGCTCACTCTATTACTCAATATTGCAGGTTAAAAGAATTGTACCAGTGCAGCTATAGACATCAGTAAGGGAGTTCTTTCGGCGTTGTTTTCAGAGTATGATACATGTGATTAGGGGACATGTAATTGTATTTTATTTTATATACGAGTCTGAAAATCTATTTTATTTCTGAATACTAATAAATGATTTTATACGTT